TACACCTCCAACCGCTCAATCAGGCAATCTGGAAAGAAACTGACAGCACGAACGCCACTGACATCGATTAGCCGCCATTTCTTGCAACGTCTCCAGCCAAGCACAGACGGGGTCAAGGGGACCCCATCCTGGAAGTCTCACAACACCAACAACACCCAAACTCTTCGTGATCTCTGTCATGCCTTTTTGCCAAGTCATGTGCTGTCCAACTCGCGGTTTGCGCCATCCTGAAGGAGGCACGGAGAACAACACTCGTCTCGGTAGACGTTGTTTCAGCATGCGGAGCACATGACCGAGCCATCGTAGTCGATGGATGTTTTCCCGGATTGAAGTGCCTGCAGCACAACCAAATACCCGTTTTCTAATCGCCTCGTTACTGATACGCTGACGCCATCCGAAACCAGCCACACTTCTGAGGCATCGGTGGTCGAAAACCTGAAGACGCCTCACATCATCTACCCGAAGAGGCCATGTCTCGCACCCATACAACAACACAGCCCCTACTGTAGCCTGGTACACACGACCCTTAAGATCCAGTGAGATGCCTTTTGACGCCACAAGTGACGCAAATTAGCAAACGTGATTCGAGCCTTTGAGATTCTTGCACTGACTTCATCAGACACACTTTCGTCAGAGCTAATACAGGTATGTAAAGTTTTCCACAATCTCCAGTGGTTCTCCTTGAATCGTAAGGGATATGTTCGCAGATGGCACGTTCTGAAGCAGGACTTTGCACTTTGAAGGTCCAGGACTGAATCTGATGCTCGACTTCGATTGCTGATTGTGGGCTGATCTCGATTTTCTGTTCAGGTTCGCTGGGTTCTTCCAGCGGTTATGTTGAAGCAGACCAGCTGAACTTCACTTTGAAGTTCTCAGCCCATCCATCGAGGCAAAGATTGAGTGAATTGCGGTACATCTTTTTCGCATATTGTTTCACTGACACTTGCTTGCTTTTAATTGATTGACGGAATCAGCTATAACAGGGCACGGCTGTTGCCTGCAGCGAATGTCTTTTCCATCTCCTAGCCTTCGAAATCCACCAACATTCTCTGTCATTATTCAAGCTACCGATTATCCAGTGTTTGAAGGATCTGTGTGCGCCATCATATTCTTTAGTTTCTGATCATCAGCATCGACAGCATGACATCAGTGTTCAACACTGATGCTTCACTGCCGTACAACCATGACTTATTTGAAAGCCTTATTGTAAAGAAAAGAGTAAAGGTGAACGGGGAATGGATTTAGTGCTAGCTTAACATAATCATTCCGAGGTGCCTACACCTCCAGACATTCACTCAGGCAATCTGGATAGAAACTGACAACAAGAGCGCCATTGACATCGGTTGGCAGCCATATCTTGTAGTGTTAGTGTCATTTAATTGAGTCATATGGCCCGGATAAGCAGTTCTGAAAGATGAGAGCATTGCTTTTCTAACTCGCCTCCATTCATTTTCCATATCTTCGCAATCCGCACGACTATGCATTTTCAGTAGCTTTCTAGCCGGATTAGCTCGATACTCTTCAGGTACTGGGACTTGTCGGAACTGATGAACGGCGCTGCTCTCCTTTGGCACGCGTAATGCTGGCGTAAAGCGAAGTGCTGACCGGACCCGCGCGATGGCTTGATCGGAGTCAAGTTGTATACCCCAGAAGGAACGACAATCCTTGACTGAGGCTCTCTACCGGTAACTGATAGCCATATGGTCCAATTGAGTCCATGACTGTCTTGTGGTAGGTGGCCTCCAAGTAACTCAATGTGAGCATTTGTGTTTCGTGAACGGTCCTCATCATTCAGGACATATACAAGTATCACTGAAAGTGTCCACCTGGTCTGCTGAGTAAGTAATGGATAGTTGAATTTCAGTGTGGTAGACAATGTGCCTTAGGTCCTGGCTAAGCTTCGCGAGTCCGGACAGGTGCTTGTATTGCAGTCGGTTGAGGGTCGCTACAGCCACATGTGCCTCACTGGACGGCAGCAGATAGCGCTGTTCTGACTGATCCCAGTTGTCGTAAATGTGGACGGGACACGCGCGATCAAACGATTTGGATTAGCCTTTTAAAGAAATCAACGTGGCCCATAGATACAAGCACTACACCTTCCTGATCGCGGATGGCGTGGGTACAGGACGTTCGGCTGTGTGCGGGAAAAGAACAGTTTGCTGTATACGTAACCGTTTGCCTCGTTTGGGGAGACAATCGGCGAAACATACCAAGTGAAGGCATTCATCGTGGACGAGTTGGTCGCACAAATCCGGGCGACAAGGGCAGTGTTCGCTTGCGATGTCACATTGTTCCATATTCGCAAAGCACTAATATATCATACAACGTCCGTGTATTTTGATCAATGACACTCTGGGAACAGCCGACGCATGCTCCAGCTGTACGGTGTACGCTCCATTTATCACAGAGCTAGCACAGACTCCGATATGAACTGTAATTGCTGCGCCGCACGTACCCATGATTCGGCTCTTAGCTCGAGGCTCATTGCTTCTATATCACCCAAAAGTTCGCTGTGCACGCACGAACCGAAGTGACCCATTCTGGGAATCGGACCAACAGCTGTCTGGAGAACGCTGATCATCGCCTGAAAAAGGGGGTGACTCACTTCAAGCATGCCAAACGGAGGATGTTCTGGCAAGCTGGATGGCTCCTGTGGGAGTATGACATGCATGCGATGTAACACCGTGACCAACTGTAAAGCCTGAAACGCGTCGGCTAATTTCTAAACGTTTTTCTTCAAACGACTGCGTTACATCTTAGGCAAAGACGGATTGCAAACGGTACAAATACTAAAAAACGCTTTGGCAGCGCACA